AATTTGGTTCATCTTTGGAGTTCTTTAAAACATAATTTCTGGACTACTATTTACTTTGGTGCATCCATTCTCCTAGAGAAAGCTCCAGTCTGGGCCGGGCACGGTGGCTCAAGCCTGTAATCCCAGCACTTTGGGAGGCCGAGACGGGCGGATCATGAGGTCAGGAGATCGAGACCATCCTGGCTAACATGGTGAAACCCCGTCACTACTAAAAAATACAAAAAAAAAAAAATTAGCCGGGCGAGGTGGCGGGCGCCTGTAGTCCCAGCTACTCGGGAGGCTGAGGCAGGAGAATGGCGTAAACCCAGGAGGTGGACCTTGCAGTGAGCCGAGATCCAACCACTGCACTCCAGCCTGGGTGACAGAGCGAGACTCCGTCTCAAAAAAAAAAAAAAAAAAAAAGGAGAAAGCTCCAGTCCAACCGTACAGGCAAGATGAAAATGACAAATGGTGAAAATGAAGAAACCACTGTGCATGTGCCCATGACCAGTAGGAGTACAACACGGGAGGTCTGCTGTAGGAACATGGGCCTACGTATGAGTAAAACATGAGAAGTGTGATGTAGGACATGGGCCTGCATATGAGTAAAACATGGGAGGTATGGTGTAGGAACATGGGCCTCCCTCAGGCCTCCCATGTTGTATGATGTAGGAACATGGACCTCCCTCAGGCCTCCCATACTGTGGTCATATTGGTCATGTGCACATGCACAATGTAAACACAATGTGTTCTCTCTACATGGGAGGGTATGATATAGGAACCTCTCTCTTTTGGGTTCTTTTGATTCCAAGTTTTCCTACTCCTTGGGAGCTATCTACTCCATAAATAGAAAAAATAAAAGCTTACGGGATGGAGCTCTGGGACTTTCCTGTGGTTTTATGCAAAATCCATTTATTATCTTCAAATCAGAGCTTCTGGTAAGCCTTAGAGATGAGTAAACATCTCTTTCACATAACCTAAAACAGCTTCCTAAAAAAGAGAGAAAAATGTTTCAAAGAAAGAAAATGTGATGTTTTCTCAAAATAAGAAATACCTGCAAGTTACGTTTCATTTATAAAAATTAGTTCATTTAGGAAATGAATTTACTATATGTAAGATACACATACTATATTTAAAGTGCTATGCCTGATGCTCTTTTAAAATATAAATGTTTTATTGATTAGGAAATTAGGAATTTACAACATAAAAATGTTACCAGCTGTAAATTTTAAATAAGTCCTTCTCACATGTGTCTTATCATAACAATGGCTCTGGTGGCAATATTATGTATTATGACATCAGGGCTGTTTAGGTGAAGATTAGTAACCTCCCAAAAGTGATAAACTAGGTCACCAAGTTGCCATACTATGCTGATAAACTGGTTAGGGGGCTGCAGTGGTCAGCAAGAAGTAACTCTAGAAAGCCTTGCTCCTTGTAAGCCACAAGTCCCTAACTAGAAATCAATTTTAGATGTAGTTTTGAACTAAATATAACTTTAAAACTACATATATAAGAATATATGTAGTTTATTTTAAAAATTTAAACTCAAAGCACAAATAGAGAGTAGTATTACGAACCCCTATATACTCATCACCCATTTTCAACAATGATTGCTATATGGCTAATAAGTATCATTTAACCTCTATAAAAACCCCGGAAGACAACCTAGGCAATACCATTCTGGACATAGGAATGGGCCAAGATTTCATGATGAAGATGCCAAAAGCAACTGCAGCAAAAGCAAAAATGGACAAATGGGATCTAATACATTTAACTTTTACTGTGCAGAAACTAAACAGATTCTGCAGAGCAAAAGAAACTATCAACAGAGTAAACAGACAACTTACAGAATGAGATAAAATTTTTGCAAACTATGCATCTGACCAAGGTCTAATATCCAGCTCCATGAGGAACTTAAACAAATTTACAGGAAAAAAAACACCAGCCCATTAAAAAGTGGGCAAAGGACATGAGCAAACACTTTTCAAAAGAAGATACACATGCAGCCAACAGGCATATGGAATAAAAAGTAACATCACCGATCACTAGAGAAATGCAAATCAAAACCACAATGCAATGCCACCTCACAACCAGCCACAATGCCTATTATTTATTTAATTTTTAGATATACACTATTTTAATCAGACTACACTTTCAACATTTTACAGATAAAATTATAATCACCTGAGCTTTTAAAAAATAAAAATTAGGCACAAATACACATATTCATAATTGCACTGGCAAACAGTTCTTACGAGATATTTAAATCTTTGTGAAAGGATAGCCCCCTTCTTTTCCCATGTGCCCTCAAGTCAAGCCTGATCTCTCTCCCTGTCACCCATAAAATCTCACTTTATGTTCCATGAACCAGGATCGCATGAACTAACCTGAAAGAAAAGGAGTTCTCTGTCTATATAATAATGTTGGCAAAATAAATCGACATATGTTTAACAAAAGCACACAAAATAAGAGATACAATCAGGTGAATATTATTAAGTCACTCTTTCATCATGAACATAAAATTGTAATTCTACTTTTGTAAATTTTATCAACAGATTCTCAAATGCCACACTTGATGTATACATATAAGAATAAGAAAAAATAAATGAAAAATGCATTTTCAGATATATTAAACAAAATCACTTTTATGAAAAATAAGCAAAGTAGCATTACAGTTATTACTCAACTTTCAAAAGGTCACACAAATATAAGACTCTTGTTGGCAAATATTAGGATAAAACATTTTCATAGAAATATCAAGTATATACGGAAAGCAAAACATATTTAAGATATAAGATGTATTTATGATTTAAAATAATCTTTGCACATCATGAGAATATTCAAGACTCTATTGAATTTCTCCCCAAATGAACATCTCTATATAGTAACTATATTCTCAGTCTTGCTTTTTTTTTTGAGATGGAGTTTCCCTCTTGTTGTCCAGGCTGGAGTCTAGTGGCACAATCTTGGCTCACCGCAACCTCTGTCTCCCAGGTTCAAGCGATTCTCCTGCCTCAGCCTCCCAAGTAGCTGGGATTACAGGCACCCGCCACCATGCCCGGCTAATTTTTTCGTATTTTTAGTAGAGGTGGGGTTTCTCCATGTTGGTCAGGCTAGTAGCAAACTCCTGACCTCAGGTGATCCGGCCACCTCAGCCTCCCAAAGTACTGGGATTACAGGCGTGAGCCACCGTGCCTGGCCAGTCTCAGTCTTTATTTATTTAGTAAGTTCTGGGATACATGTCCTGAACGTGCAGGTTTGTTACATAGGTATACACATGCCATAGTGGTTTGCTGCGCCCACCAACTCGTCATCTACATTAGCTATTTCTCTCAATGCTATCCCTCCCCTAATCCCCTACCCCCGACAGGCCCTGGTGTGTGATGTTCCCCTCCCTGTGTCCAGGTGTTCTCATTGTTCAACTCCCACTTATGAGTGAGAACACATGGTGTTTGGTTTTCTGTTCCTGTGTTAGGTTGCTGAGAATGATGGTTTCCAGCTTCATCCATGTCCCTGCAAAGGACATGAACTCATCCTTTTTTATGGCTGCATAGTATTCCATGGTGTATATGTGCCACATTTTCTTTATCCACTCCATCACTGATGGGCATTTGGATTGGCTCCAAGCCTTTGCTATTTTTTTTTTTTTTTTTAAATGGAGTTTTGCTCTTGTTGCCCAGGTTGGAGTGCAATGGTGTGGTCTCAGCTCACTGCAACCTCCACCTCCCAGGTTCAAACAATTCTCCTGCTTCAGCCTCCCGAGTAGCTGGGATTACAGACACCTTCCACCATGCCCAGCTAATTTTTGTATTTTTAGTAGAGACGGGGTTTTACCATGTTGGCCAGGCTGGTCTTGAACTCCTGACTTCAGGTGATCCTCCCACCTCAGCCTCCCAAAGTGCTGGGATTACAGGCGTGAGCCACTGTGCCTGGCCAGAATGGCTACTATTAAAAAGTCAAAAAATAAGGGATGCTGTGGAGAGGTTTCAGAGAAAAAGGAACACTTATATGCTGTTGATGGGAGTATAAATTAGTTCAACCATTGTGGAAAGAAGTATGGCGATGCCTCAAAGACCTAAAAACAGAACTACCACTGGACCCAGCAATGCTATTACTGGGTATATCTCCAAAGGAATATAAATGTTCTATCATAAAGACACATGAATGTGTTTGTTGACTGCAGCACTATTCACAACAGTAAAGACATGAATCAACCTAAATGTCCATCAATGGCAGACTGGATAAAGAAAATGTGGTCTTTTCTTTAGGCCGGGCACAGTAGCGCATGCCTGTAATCCCAGCTACTTGGGTGGCTGAGGCATGAGAATTGCTCACTTGAACCTGGGAGTTGAAGGTTGCAGTGAGCCTAGATCATGACAGTGCACTCCAACCTAGGCAAGAGTGAGACTGTCTCAAAAAATAAATAAATAAGAAAATGTGGTACATATACACCACAGAATACTACACAGCCTTAAAAAAAGAATGAGAGCATGTCCTCTGCAGGAACACAGATGGAGCTGGAGGTCATTCATTATCCTTAGCAAACTAACACAGGAACAGAAAACCAAATACTGCATGTTCTCATTTATAAGTGTGAGCTAAATAATGAGAACACATGGACAGACAGAAGGGAACAACAAACACTGGGGCCTACCTGAGGGTTGTGCGTGGTAGGGAGGAGAGGATCAGAAAAAATAACAAACGGGTACTAGGCTTAGTACCTGGGTGACAAAATAAACTGTACAGCAAACCTCTGTGACATGAGTTTACCTATGTAACAAACCTGCACATGTACCCCTGAACTTAAAAAATTTTAAAAATATCGTTTCCCCTAAACTCTACCTATTATCTACCCCTTACTGGATTGTTTTAAAGCAAATCCCAAATATTATATTAGTTCATCCATAAATACTTCAGTATGTATTTCAAAATCATATCTGAAATATTAATATAATTTTAAAATGTTCCTTAATATCAGTATATTATGATCAAATCCTATTAAGATGAAATTTCTGATAGGCTTTTTTTTTTTTTTTTTTTTTTTTACAGTTGGCTTATTCAAAATAGGTGCACAAACTGAATATGGCTAATGCTTCCTGAGTTTCTTTAAATCTATAGGTCTCTCCTCTTACATTTTTAAAAATCATTTATTTGTTAAAGAAACCAGTCATTAGTCCTATAGAGTGTCCCTCAATTTTACATTTTGCTTATCACACCCCCATGGTGTTATCCAACATATTCTCCAAACTCCTCTATTCCTTGTAAACAGATTTTTGAGGCCTGAAAGATTCAGATTAGATCTTTTAGCAAGAATGTCATAGGTGATAGGTACTGTGTATGTCTTATTATGCCACATCAATAGGCATATGCCAATTTTGTCTTTCATATTAAGATTGATCAGTAGATGCTATCAGTCTGATTCACCTTTCATAAGGTTCCCCATCAACCTTTCATCTAATTTCTTTTTTTTTTTTTTTAGCAGACAATGGTGATTATTACCTAGATCCATTTATTTCATTAGGGATTGCGAAATGGTGGTATTCTCCCCTTTCACATTAACTATTTGGTTATCTTAAGGCATAAATCACGCAGAAAATGTGGAATAAATGCTGGATTATTGCCCTTTGCCAGTTTTCAAATGAACAAATTGGTTTTCTTGCAACTGCCTTATGTTGCATTTTTACACGTGATGTGCTCTAGACTATTTCAGTTGTTCCTTTTAATCCCATCTTTAGTTATTAGGAACCCTTCTAAATTGGCTGTCGAGTCCTTTCAACACATCCTTAGTGGTCATTGATAGCTTTCTTTCTGACAAGATATTCTAGACTGATTTTAAATGTTTTCTGCCCCTGAGTTGGAATCACACATTCCTCTCAACGGGCTCTGGTTCTTTTAAAGAAATGTTTTTAGAGACTCCTTAGTGGGGGGCTCATTTTTTTTCAGTTTGTCACTGTTTTTGCCTTTTCAGTGAATAAAGCTAGGAAATACCTTCATAAAATAAATACATTTAAGAAATTAGTTTTAATTAGGAATTCTTACCTTCAGCTTTAGCATGAATAATTTTAATTAATTAAAATCAGAAGCAGAGACAACCAGAAATAGTTTTGATCAGGTGGGAGAAAAGGCGAGTAATTCTGATCTTGGGACTGTGGTGCAGATGCGGCCAGGTCTGGTATAAGCTCCTGAGATCAGAAGACATCTAAGAGCCCCTGAGTCTCTAGGATGTGGAAGAGTGGAACAGAAATGAAAGCTGGAAAGGCACCAGAGATAAATCTAACTAGGGCCTTGCCACTATATGATGCTCTAGATGATAGAAATTGAATGCCCAAGACGTGTACTGAATGTAGTAAGAGTGTGCCCTCAGACCTTTGTGGTTAAAAATGAATTTGCTAGTGGATAAAAAGACTGTGCCTTGGAAGTTCCAAACTCCCACTTGGGTGTCTTGCAGCCTCAGAGTCTGGAGCAGTAAGGGGAGGTAAGAGAGGCAGTAGGAGTAAAACATGGTTACATAGGCAGTTTTCCCAATGATGGTGAAAAGCATCATTTCCTCACTTTTCCCCCTTGCTGTTAAAAAAATATATATATATCTTTTGAACATAACAAGTTAAAAGATACTACTGTGGACTTCTCACGAAATATGTTCATGTTTAAGATTTTAAAAATACTTTTATTGATACATAATTCCCTATCATAAAACTCACTTTTAAAGTGTGAAATTCAGTGGTTTTCATGTATTCACAAAGTTGTGTATTGATTACTACTATCTAATTCCAGAAGACATTCATCACCCCAGAAAGAAATCCTGAATACATTAGCAGTCATTCCCTGTTTCCTCCTTCCCCCAACCCTAGAAAATCACTAATTTGATTTCAGTCTCTATGGATTTGCATATTCTGGACATTTTATATAAATGGAATCATACAACACGTGGTCTTTTATGACTGTCTTCTTTTACTTATATTTTCAAGGTTCATCCATGCTGTAGCATTTGTCAGTACTTGATTCCTTTTTATTGACTAATTTTATTCCACTATACCAGAGTTTGTTTACACATTAGTCAACTAATGGACATTTGGGTGGTTTCCACTTTTTGGCTATTATGAATAATGGTGTTATAAACATTTGTGTACAAGTTTTTAAGGAACATGTATTTTCGTTTGTGGGGCATATACTAAGGGGTGAAATAACTGGGTTATTTCCATTTAATCATTTAAGGAATTACAAGACCATTTTCCAAGTGGCTGTAACATTTCACATTTTCATATATGAGGGTTCCAATGTCTTCACATCCATATCCACATTTGTTGTTCTTTTTGATTATAACTGTCCCAGTAGGAATGAAGTGGTATCTCATTGTAGTCTTAAGTTACATTTATCTAAAAGTAATAATGAGGATCTTTTCATGTACTAATTGGCCATTTGCATATCTTCTCCAGAGAAATATCTACATAGTTCCTCTGCCCATTTTTTTTAAGTAGGGTTATGTCTTTTTGAGTTGTAAGAGTTCTTTCCTTATCTGATATATAATTTACAAATATAGTCTCCCATTCCATGAGTATCTTTTCACTATCCTGATGATGTCCTTTGAAGTATAAAAAAATTTAATTTAGGTGAGGTCCAGTTTATCCATCTTTTCTTTTATTGTTTGAGCTTTTGGTGCCATATACAAGGTCACAAAGATTTACTCCTATATTCTAGAATTTCAGAGTTTTAGCTCTAATATTACGTCTGTGATCCATTTTGAGTTATAGTAGTATACTTTATGTGGAAAGGATCCAAATTCATATTTTGGCATGTAAATGCCCAGTTCTCCCAGCACCACTTGTTTAAAAGACTATTCTTTTCCTCACTGAGTTGTTTTAGCACAATATAGAAAATCAATTGACCGTAAATATGAGAGTATATTTCTGGACTATCAGTTCTATTCCACTGATCCAGATGTCTGTCCTTATGCCAGCACCACACAGTCTTGATTATTACAGCTTTGTAGTTTTTAATCAGGACGTATGAGTCATCCAACTTGGCTTTTCTTTTTAAAGATTAGTTTGCCTACTCAGGGTCCCTTAAATTTCTTTTTTTTTTTTTTTTTTGAGACGGAGTCTCGCTCTGTCACCCAGGCTGGAGTGCAGTGGCCGGATCTCAGCTCACTGCAAGCTCCGCCTCCCGGGTTCACGCCATTCTCCTGCCTCAGCCTCCCGAGTAGCTGGGACCACAGGCGCCCGCCACCTCACCCGGCTAAGGGTCCCTTAAATTTCTGTATGAATTTGAGGACAAGCTTGCCAATCTCTGCAAAGGCCCCAGCTGGGATTCTGTTGGGGATTGTGTTCAATCTGTAGATCAATTTGAGGAATACTTTCATCTTAAAAATATTAAGTCTCTCAAACCATGAACATGGGATGTCTTTCCATTTATTTGGGTCTTCTTTAATTTCTTTCAGTAGTGTTTTTGCAATTTCCAGAGTACGTTTTAAACTTCGTTATTCTTTTTGATGCTATTATAAATGGAATTGTTTTTCTTCATGTTTGCATCATTCATTGCCCATTTATCTTGCATACTGCAAAACTGTTCAACATTTAGTCTAATAGGGTATGTGTGTGTATGTATTCCTTAGGATTTTCTATATACATGATCATGTTATCTGGGAATATAGTCTTACTTCTTTTGCCACTTACTGTTTTTCCTACCTAAATTCCCTAACGAGAACCTCCAGTACAGTGTTGAATAGAAATGTTGAGAATGGACATCCTTGTCATGTCATGGCAGAAAAGCATTCAGCCTTTCACCATTAAGTCAGATGTTAGTTGCAGGTTTTTCATTTAATGACCTTTATCAGGTTGAGGAAGTGCCTTTCTATTCATAGTTTCTGAGTGTTTATAGTGAAGAGAAGTTGCATTTTGTCAAATGCTTTCTCTGTGTTTACTGATGTGGTTGTGTGTTTTTTTCCTTCATTCTATTAACATGGTGAATGATGTTGAGTCAGGAGTCCTGACCTTACATTTTCAGCATAAATCCCACTTGATCACAATCTATAATTTTTCATGTCACTGGATTCATTTTGTAGTATTTTCTTGAGGATTTCTGCATCAATATTCATAAGGGTTCTATATGGGTCTGTAGTTTTCTTGAGTTTTTTTTTGCGGGGGGGTTTGGTATGAGGATAATGTGGCCTCATCCAATGTATTGGGAAGTGATCCCTCCTCTTTTGTATTTTGGAAGAGTTTGTGAAAGATTAATTCTATCTTTTTCTTTAAATGTTTGGTAGAATGCACAATTGAAGCCATCTGGGCCTGGACTTTTTCTTTGCAGGAAGTTTTAAAATCACTAGTTCAATCTCCTGTTACAGGACTTTTCAGATTTTTTATTTTTTCTTGACTTAGTTTTGGTAATTTTTGTCTTTCTATAAGTGTGTCCATTTCATCTGGTTTATGTCATTTTTGGCATACAGCTGTTACGCACTCCATGTTATGTCAAACAAGTGCTGCTGATTATTTTCAACAAATGCACCAGGGAAAAAACACTGTTTGCAGTGAATAAACTCCAAGTCAGGTGAAAAAAGACAAGCCCTATGAATGGGGTTTCCAGTGAACTGTCAGACAAGTCAAATAGTAACAATTCTCGAGCTGAAAGTTTTGGAGAACTCTAAACCCATTCCGCCTTCTTCAGTGCCTGCAAGGCTGCTGGTTTTCAAAGCAACTGTGACTTGTGAGGCTGCTGGTTTTCAAGGCTTTTGTGAAGCTGAGAGAAGACAGGAATAAAGCAAGTTAAAACTCCACAAGACTTGCTGTCCTACCACGATTTCAGTCTTTTTTTTTTTTTTTTTTTTTGATAAATGCTCCTCAGATTGTTACAAATGCCTGGTAATTTTCCAGAGTTCTGGAAAAGTTGCTTCTGCTAACTTCCGGCAGTGTTACCATTGCTTTTAGGTAAAAATGGATTTTCAGAGGTCCTTACTCTTGACACATCTGAAGTTGGAATCTCTAACTGTGGTTACCTGCCACATGGTCTTTTTCATAAAAGGCCTCATTTATTTCCTTTTTCAGGGCTATAAATCCCAGAACGCTTTGCCTGGGTCTGGTAAGCACAACATCTGTAATACCTAGTGGAAAGGAGATAAATTAATTGCTTTTAGCTTGTTTCCTCATTTAAAACGTGGATAATGCAGTGTTTCTTGTACCAAAGCTGATTTGAGGGTTAAATGGAAAAGCAAATATGGGAGCATCTGGTAAGACACTTGAAACACAGCAGGCTCTCTGTTAAGTTTATTTTTTAAAAAATATTATGTAAAACATTAACTTCGATAAAATGCTTCTAGAACACTTTTCAATTTTACCCAAATACAGTTAGGATTTCTGATAAAGGTAATTATGCAGTTATGAGGCCATGGGAAAAGTCTATGAAACTCTTCAACAGCTTTTAATAGCACTGAAGATGAAGACACAATTATTAAATCTTGTGATCCTCAAACTTTAGTGTTTTAGTGTGAATCAGAGGAATGCCTTGTTAAAACACAAATCATGAGGCTGCCTACCTCCAGTTTCTGCATCCACAGTTCTGTAATGGAGGCTGTGAATTCGCATTTCTAACAAGTTCCTAGGTGATGCTGCTACTGCTGGTTCTGGACTATACTTTGAGAACCTAGGAGTTTCTCTCCCCTAAGATGTGGTTAAACATACGTAACATAAAATTTACTATTTTAATTATTTTTAAGTGTTCAATTCAGTGGCGTTAAGTACATTTACACTGCTGTGCAACTAATTACTACTATCCATCTCCAGGACTTTTTCATCTCCCCAGAGAACCACTGGTTTAATGTGACCTACAAGGCCCCATCTCACACAATGCTGTCCCATTCCTCCTTTGGCAGGCACTTACAAAAGGAACAAGGTTAACTGGCAGCAAGCTAGGAGGACTCTGCTCTTTAAACAGAAAAAGAATCAATAATTATTTCGTAAGACAGCTGTCCCTCCCCATCCCTCCTAATTAGAACAAAGGCAGTTTAGGAGAACAGAAGACAAACCGCCTCTCAGCTAGCTCAGTTTGAGAAATAATACAGCAAAAAATGCTAACATGTATACTTACTATCAGTGACATCAATGTATGCTGGAGATATTCATTCAACAAAGTACTTCCTATGTGCCAGGCATTGTTTTAGGAAATATACAAAAAAGATAAAAATCTGTGCCAATAGAACTTGCATTCTACTGGGGAAAAAGTTATATATATATATATATATATATTAGATAATCAGTGCCAGAGAGAAAAAAAATAAACAATGGGGACATGAAGTATGTGTTTGGAATGGGCTGTGTATGAAATTTTATATAGGGTAGTTAGGAAGTCCTCTGTGAGAATGTCACTCTTGAAGGGAAGCAAGGGCTAGCTATGCAGCTATCTGGTGGAAGAATATTCCAAACAGAAAATGCAAAAGACCCTAAAAGATTCTAGAGCCCATAAAGAGGAGGCCAGTATGGCCAGAACAGAATGAATAACGGGAAGACAAATAGAATTTGATGTCAGAGGTACCTGAGGTAGCCATGGGGGGTAGAAACTTGGAGACATGAGAGGTTCACCTAGATCAGACTATATCTCCCAACTTTTTCTTACTACAACTTCAAATTGTATGCTAATAACTTTTACCTCCCTACAGTATAAATGCTGATTAAAACATACAAATATTATCTTATAGATATTAGAATAATAGACTAATGTAAAAAATATTTTTTTAAAGACAAGGCCTTGCTCAAAAAATATTTTTAAAAATTGTATCAGTACATAGTGAAACCCTCTCTCTACAAAAAATACAAAAATGAGCTGGGCACAGTGGCATGTGCCTGTGGTCCCAGCTACTCAGGAGGCTGAGGCAGGAGGATGGCTTGAGCCCTGGAGGCAGAGCTTGCAGAGAGCTGAGATCATGCCACTGCACTCCAGCCTGGGTGATAGAGCCAGACCTTCTCTCAAAAATAAAATAAAATAAAATTTAAAATGTAAAAAAGTTATCACTAAAAAATGTCTGAAGTATTTGATGTGGTCTTGGTTTTTATTTTGCAATTATAACAACATGACAGAATAAACAAGCTTTAATATCATTACTAAGACCTTCGTTTTCTCTCAGAGAGACAGAATATATTGACCAGATGCCCAAGCCAGACATTTTCCATCCTTTGGTGGATCACGATTAAAAACATACAAACCAAAAGAAAAACAGCCCTTTAACCCTCTGGCTGGACTTGCAGCTTGTCCCTGGCTGACAAGTTCTGTGTCTCCGGGGTCCTAGCAGGAAGTTAAGATGAAGCCTCACAGCTGTCTCTAAGGCTCTGGGTGGCAAATGGCTAATCTTAAGAGTAAAGGTTCTCAAACTTTTTTATCTATCAAAATCAGCTGGGGGACCCGTGAAACAGATTACTGTACCCCACTGATACAGTAAGTATGGGCAGAACCTGAGAATGTGCAGTTATAATAATTGCCCAGGTAATGGTGACACTTCTGCTATGGGGGACCCATAATTTGAAAACCAGTGCCTCAGAAATATTATTGCTAGCTGGAGGCTATAGTGGTCAGCCAGGGTGAGGCTGGTTGAAATACCAGCTTTTCTCCTGGTAGTCCCCTCCTTTCCATAAATATCCTTTCTAACCCCATGATAGACAGTGAGGAAAGGTAGGGATGCTTTTTCTTTCTCAGAATCTTTCAAGGTCCTCTTGGAGAGAACCATAGGTGATGTGACTGGAGATATGACAACTCTCTGGGAATCAGAGGATCAATATTACAACCCACTCCCCAGAGTGGCTATCTGAAACTCTCTAGGCCTTAGCTGTTGACCTGGGCTTTGTGACAGAAACAGACTCCCTATATCCGTTTTCTCATCCTTCCCTGCAGGCTTGGAGAAATACCAGTCTTCCTTCATTCTTAAGTAGTAATCCCTCTCCTGAGGGATGTTGTACCAAACTTATCCTTATTTTCCACTGCCTTCTTCCTGCCAAATGTTATTTCCCCCATTTTTAAAATCAAAACTAAAAAACCTAATTTTTTTTTTTTTTTTTTTTTTTTTAGAGACAAGGTCTCACTTTGTCACCCAGGGTAAAGTGCAGTGGAGCGATCATAGCTCACTGTAACTTTGAACTCCTGGGCCCAAGCGATCCTCCTGTATCATCTTCTGTAGTAGTTGGGACCATAGGCAGATGCCACCATGTCTGGCTAATTAAAAAAATGTGTTTTGTAGAGATGGGGTCTTGCTATGTAAACACCTTTGTACCACCAAGTTGTTATACACCATGTTATTATGTAAAAAACTTTTTGTAAAATAAACTTTAAATTATAAAAGTAACACTTGCTCATTAAAGAAAATTTGCAAGTTAAAAATATGTGAAGAAAAATAAAAGCACTCATAATAACACCACTTAGGGATAATAACTTGGTGCATTAATATTTATTTTCAGACCTTTCCTATACTTACATACAACATATACATTTTTCATAATCAGATAATCCTGTATCTTGCTATGTCACAAATACTTTCCAAGATATTAATAATTTTAGTAGCTGTATAACACCCAACACACAGCTATAACCTGAATGTAGTAATTCCCTACAACTTGATTCGTTTCCAATTATTCACTACTATAAGTGATGTTTCAATGAACAGTTCTCTACATACATCTTTGATGGTACTTCTAATTATTTTCTTAGAACAAAATTCTAGAAGTGAAGGGTAAAATTGTATGAAACCCTTTAAGGTTCCATCTACATCTCTATCTATCTTATTTATCTATCTTTATATCTATCTATCTATCTATCTATCTATCTATCTATCTATCTATCTATCTATCTATCTAAACTACTTTCCAGAAAGGCTGACTACTTCTCCAGTAACTTCTACTAGTAGTTAGTGAAAATTCTGTCTTATTACCCTACAATAACACTGAAGGTCCACTATGTTGGACAAAGCATTCACTTGTTCTCAACAGGTTTTTTTTTTTTTTTTTTTTTTTTTGAGATGGAGTCTCGCTCTATCCCCCAGGCTGGAGTGCAGTGGCGCGATCTCGGCTCACTGCAAGCTCCGCCTCCCGGGTTCACGCCATTCTCCTGCCTCAGCCTCCCGAGCAGCTGGGACTACAGGCGCCCGCCACCTCGCCCGACTAGTTTTTTGTATTTTTTTTAGTAGAGACGGGGTTTCACCGTGTTAGCCAGGATGGTCTCAATCTCCTGACCTCGTGATCCGCCCGTCTCGGCCTCCCAAAGTGCTGGGATTACAGGCTTGAGCCACCGCGCCCGGCCAGGTCCTATTAATAAAATTCTAATTTCCTCTTTTTCATAGCTCAAATGATTGAATAAATGGCATGTATCCACTACTTCACTTCACCACACTTTATTTTGCTACAATGTTTCCTTCTCCAATCATTTTAATAAAATTACTCTACCAACATTAGTAACCTCTTTCTAGTCATACCAATACATTTTTTTAGATTCTCATCATTAGCCCTTCTGACTCTATTCTTGCCATTTTTGTGGCCTATGACTCTACTGATCTCATCCTTCTACAAGGATTCAATGCCTTCTTACATTGTACCACCATATTCTCTCACTTCATCTCCAACCTCTATGACCTATCTTCTTTAATGACTTCTTTCCCAGTTCCTATGTCACACCTCCAAGGCTTAGTCCTTGTTTCTATTCTGTGCTAAAAGGACTCATCCATTCTGTTTTAAAAATCCACTCCAGACTAATTGCTCCCATATCTTTATCTCCATAACTTTACTCTTCCTTTGCCCTCAGGTCTTCAACCTCTCACCACCTATAACTCAATGCCACCTAAACCTTCTCAATAATGTACTATCTTCTCTGCCAAACTAACACAAATCTTTGATGGCATTTCTGATTATTTTTCCAACTTTCTTATTTCTGACAATGAGGCAATACTTCCGTAGTCCTCAACATTAAAAAACTTGTCTTTAAGTCCTTCCTTACTCAGTATCTCCAAACTCATCCTTTCTTCAAGACACTTCCTGAATATATTCCTTTGTTATTTCCATCATCACCTCACACATCAGTTACTGTAACATCTTCATAGGTAGCAGCAGTTCAACTGGTATGTAGTTATTGTGTTAATTTTCCAGAAATGTTTCTTGTATTACTTCTCCTGCTAAAGGGTTTTTTTGGTTCAAATTCATTTGGTTCAAACTTCTCCAAACACCACACTTTATCTCCTATTACCTCCTGATCAAAATCCAAGGTAATCTTTCCTCTCGTAGCCTTTTTCAGACTCATTACCACCCCTACATGTGCTCACATCACTCTCAAACCCCTTTGTTTCAATGGAGCCTTCAAGAATCTCAGAATTCTTGAGGCCGATGGTATACTGGAGGGGGCCAGTGGAGACAAGTCCTGATTTGTAGTGTTTGCCAATAACCCTTACCATAGCAGATCTTAAGCTACTAATGTAACATCACCAAATATGAAATTGGGAAGAGACCTGCACAAAGTCAGTGGCTCCAGGACACCACAGCAGCACTTATAATCTAGTCTGTAATCTAAAGCTTTATATATATACTGTTTTGTATAGGTTATTCTGGTGTATTATATGTTTGTTTGTTCACTGCAATAAATCAGCCATAGGAGTGGTGCAGTCCATTCATTTTAGAGCCTTCACAGTATACATACAGGGCATTCATTGTGTACTCAATAAATACTTGGTAAGACCTGGAGAGGAGCAATGAGCAAAGCCAAAGGTGGGGTAGTTAAAATGGGTATGTTCTCATTTAAGGTTGGTTAGCAAGAACAAACAGAACAATAAGGTAGGAGAATGTGATAGAAATAAAATCAGAATGGGAACCAGGGGATATTGGCTATGTCCCAGGTCTGTACCTGTGTGATCCTTAGCAAGCCGATTCCCTTCTTGGCCCTTAAGTTTCCTCATCTGTAAAAATTAGAGGACTAGATTACCTGACTTCTAAGATATCTCTCTACTCCAATGCTCTGAAATGTCAGTTAAACTAAAAGGAAGGCAGCCCATAGTCCATTACATTGGTAACAATAATGACGATAATAAATTCATTTTCAAATCTGACCAGTCAACAGAGTTTAGGGCAGCAAAACTTTCTTTCAAGAAGAAACATTCTTGTAAGGTCATTCTATTCCTTTGAACTAATAATCATTCTGTAGAAAGATACAATATCCTAAAAGTTATATCTATTTTATTCTTTCAGGAGAAAAGAAGTGTGAAAACTCACCTTATATTTGCAGCATGTTCCAAGATATGTCCTAGCATCCTTCGTCCAAAAAATATGCATTGCCTGTCTACTATGAGCTGAACACCAACAAGTGGTAAGGATTGAGTAAAAACAAAACAGATCTAGTGTTTACCCTCATGAAACCCAGCATAGTGTGGGTAAATGGCCATTTAGTTCCTAATCATCTGTATCAGTGCTTTTTAACTTAAAGAGCATGAACTGCTCTGAGTAGCAGATACAAGTTATGGACCCTCTCTCTCAAAAATGGTACACAATCATAAAAATTTGAGAAGTTCACAGGACCTCTCAAACATGGAAGTGTCCAGTACCACAACTTAACAACCCTGATCTGTATCTACAACTACATCTACAAAATAACAAATTCGAGCTCATAAAAGCCTATATTATGTTTGCTATATTGTTTGCTAAGGGAGTATACCAAAGATCGCCAACAGAAACAAAAGTAAAGGTCCGTCATTTATAAGGTTAAGTTTTGATCATCTGAAATTTCACTTATGTAGAGAATCTTATTCCAAATATTCTGGATAAATAAGGGATGCCTAGATTATGCTTTTTTTTTTTTTTTTTTCCCAGAGACAGGGTCTCACTCTGTTGCCCAGACTGGAGTGTGGCAGCATGACTGTATTATAGCTCAATGCAGCCTCAAACTTCTGGGCTCAAGTGATCTTCTTGCCTCAGCTTCCTGAGTAGCTGAGACCACGGGTTTGAGCCACCATGCCCAGCTAATTTTTAAAAGCTTTTCGGAGAGATAGGCTCTTGCTAAGTTAGCCAGGTTGGTCTCAAACTCCTGGTCTCAAGCAATCCTCCGGTATCAGCCTCCCAAAGTGCTGGGATGGCAGGCGTGAGCCACCACACTGGGCCTACATTTCTATTTGATCTATCATTCCTTTGGCTAAGGCTGCTTATTAAATCAGTCTTCTTTCTTGAAAAGTCATTTGCACATGAAGATGTACTTGCATTTCAGAACTAAATCTGCATTTCATGACTCTTTCATTTCAGATTGAGACCCAATTAGTCATGACAAATTCATACATGCACAGCCCCTGAATGAACAGTTTGAACAGCAGCAAAAAGCACAAAAATTCCAGAATTAGAGGGTACCGACTCCTATCCTGGCTCTAACATTTGCTGGCAAAGTGATCCTGGACAAGTCATCTCTAACCTATGTTTCTTCACTTATAAAGTGTGGGAGGAGTAAGACTCACCTGAGAGGGCTGCTATGAGAAATCCATCCAACAAAATAATGTATATGAAAGTGTTTAGCTAGGAAGTGGGTGAAAGGCAGTAGGTTGTTCTGGAGTTGCTCACAAAGCATCAGATATTCGTGGAAGATCATATGGAGAGAGCTGCTCATATAACATCCTTAGTGTGCTATTAAACATTTTATATCTGAAGTAAAATAAATTGTTCTTAAATCACTCAAGGAATTCTGCTTTGGTTAAGTGGTCAATAGTGAAGTTTTCACATACCAGAAGTTTGCAGAGAGGCTTTGGAATTTTCAAGATGCATAAATACACTATCAAAGCAAGAAGGTGAACTACTTATAATACACTCAGTATTAGTTCCAAGATGTCAAAGTTCTTTTCCTGCAGTCCATTTTAACTTTTTTACAGAGCAACGATCCTTTCACTTGCCTTGTTGAAAAGCTTTATAATGGTTAATATGATGTACAGAAGATATTTTAGGTGAATTAGTTCAACAAAACTGACAAAATCAATGAAATCAATCATAGTACTGAGGATTTTAGTGGAGAAAGTGTTTGCTTTTAAAGGAAGCAAATATAATAATACTCCTTAGTTTGAGACATGTTTTCCAGTCCATTCTCCACTGGAACATCAGATAAGCTGTGTAAAGGATAACCTTGGGGTGGGGAGGGTTATATACCAAACTTGTGAAACTATGCAACATTCACTTTTTTTTTTGCATTATTTCATTTACATTTACAATATACATTTATATTATTTGAATAGCCAAGTTTGGGGCTATTTTTCCTTTAAAAATTGAATTACCAACTTTTTAATAATGTAGCGCCATTGAACAAAAGATCTCTGGTACCTAGAAAAGAGGCAAAATGCAAGCCCTCTGATTTCTCAACCCCTACTATGCCAAGGCTCTGCTGGTCCTCCCAAGAGTTTTCATTACCTAAGTCCAAAACAGTCATCACACAAATGTCTACCACCAAAACAAACTGCAGATCCTTCAATTACACACTTTCCTCCAAGAAATTCGAATCAATTAATTGTATAAGTGTTTAAAAGTAATGTATCCTCCATTTTAAGAAAATAATTATTATTAATCTGTAACACCTAAATCCTTGGCCTAATCAGACATTTAATGAGTGGGGAAACTTCAGACTGGAGGTTTCCTGGGATAAACTCCAGAGAGGAAGGGGCAGGGAAGAGGGAAGACTCAAGTAGAGCAACAGATAAGGGTGGTAAGGGTGGAAAGCTGAATGAATGGGTAAAAGGGAAGTCTAGGGATAGTAGGTGTTTTACAGACTGAACTCAGGGGAGTCTGAGGACTGGGGTGGGGAGAAGGGTAGGCACGTGGGCAGTTAAATTGGTGGGAGCTGAGTGGATGGAGATGAGGGTAACTCACGGGCAGTCTCCAATGTCTATCAGTAGCTGCTCACCTAGTTCTCTCCCACACTGACACTAAGGAGGCAGGATTCCGAGCAACCGAGAAAGTGCGTCATGGAATGGAGCCACTCCGGGGCCTAAGAAGGCTTCAGGATTCCCCCACCCGCAGCGGCCGGGCCAGCTGCCCTACCTCCCATAGCCCGACCGGCGTCTCACCCGCTGCCAGGAGCAGACCGCGGAGGGTCCCCATGGCCACCTACTACTCCGCCGACCAGCGCAGAACTTCGCCGGGGACGGCGGCGCTCGTGAGCTCAATGTCACCCAGTGCTGGAGAGGGAAGGACGCAGGCGGCGCCGGGGGTGGGGCGTGCGCGACGCTGTGGACCGGCATGCGCCAGTGCGGGGCGTGCAGTACGTGCGCGACGCGCTGGAGACCGGCGGCGCCAGCCTAGTGCCCCTGGCGCCGCGTTCCGAGCCAGTTTTGGAAATGGTCTTGTGGAGTGTGGCGCCGTGGGTTCTTGCCCTAGCGGATATGCATCCATGGAAGGACCTGTGTGAAATAGAAGGGAAAAGTGCAACTTTCGTGAGCTGTAAACGCCCGAAATACACCAGATAAACTAGTATTCCAGTATGCCGCTCTTCCAGTGTTTTCAATGAGCATAAGCTTTTATCAGAAAACACGTAATTAGACTAAGTGCTCAGTGACCTTTTGGCTTTGGAGCATCCCTCAGGCAAATCTGAGAAATTAACGTGTATGTTTTCAATTTGTTTTCTATTTACCTATTTTCTAAAAACATTTGATCATCTCCATCCTAAACACCTTACTCATACCCACCCACTCTGCCAGAAATGCCGTTTTTTCTTTGACGTTTCTTAGTGGTCCCAAGTTCTTAACAAAAACCCCTCTGCTCCAGGGTCGAGGGAGGAAGATAGGCACTGGAGTGAGAGGTATTAGGCCTCACTTGCCTAGATTTCCTTCAACGACGTGGTAGGGGAACGACAAGGAAATGGTTTCCCTTTTGTGAAGATGGGACTGGAGTAAACCGTCCCTTCAAGTTCTGACAATCTTTGATCCATGCATCTGGCCCAGTTCCAGGAGGGCATGTTAAAGGGGTTAGGACAGCAGGGTGACAGGTTTCGAGGTGGATGCGGACCACGTAGAAGTCAAGTCTTGCACTCAGCTTTCCTAAGGATTCCCCTCATGCTATATTTTTTGTCAGGCGGCTCCGCGGTCACCTTTGCTCCGCGGTGATTGGCCTGCAGCGGGGTCCTCGTGTTTGTCCAATATGGCGGCGCCCAGTGGCGGTGTGAACTGTGAGGAGTTCGCCGAGTTCCAGGTGATGGGGTTTTCCTCATGTGGCAGGCATGTCCCTCCTTTTGTCCCCAGACCCTATTCCCTCCTTTGCGAGGGAGTATGAACCAGCTTTGGAAAAAGCGGGCAATTCAAAGCTCTTTTGTAGAGCCATTGGAGGTCATGGGGGGCACGGGTTTGGCCTTAGGGAGCAAGGCTGCTCTGTAGGAGGAGGGAGGAGGAGGATCATAGTTCTCTCCGCGGCTCACAGGCCTTGAGTGGGAAGCTCTGGGTAATCCGCGGTGGTAAAGCTTGGGATCCGTGGATAAGGATTGTAACAATCTTGTAGCAGTTCCCTGAACTCAGTTTCCAGCTTCTACCATTCGTCTCGTACTTTTCTAAGTAGAGTTTTTGTGGGAGAGAAAAAAGTGAAGTAGAGTTATTTAGTTGATAAAACAAACACTTGGTACAATTTACTATTTTTGTGGGACAGAACGTATGGAAGCTTGGAGGGAGGATTAATTCTAGTACCTGCTCTAGTGTCATTGCCCATTAGAAAAGATGTTATATTTAAAGGTTCTGCCTTTTTATGTTCAATTATCAGAGATCTAGGGCTAATTATTAACCCTTGAATTAAAGAATAGGGATCTGGTTTTGACCAAGTTGCCATTAAAGTTATCTGTTCCAATTCAGTCATAAGTGTGCTTCTGTTTAGTTACAAAGTTGAATTCCAAAATCATGATCTTAAGTATGTATTGCATTAACTAACCCAAGATACTGAAAAATTGACCTATCTGTAGTAAGCTTTGTACTTTGAACGGTTTGAAGGTAGTGGTATTCTTGAATACTGCCTCAGCCTCCCTGTAGCAAGGACTACAGGCACGTGTCACCACGCCCGGGTAATTTTTTAAAAGAAATTTTGTAAGACAGTGTCTCACCAAATAATGTTCCTGCCTCATCCTCCCAAAGTGTTGGGATTACCGGCATGAGGCACCACGCCCAGCCTAAAGTGTTTTAAATTTTTGCAATTCTTATATTTTCATTACAAAAATTAGATTTAGTACATCTGGAAAATATCCTATTTCCAAATTGAAATAAAAGCCAGAAAAGAGTGTTTAAAATCGAGTGCCTAGAATCCCATTTTAGCACGCATTCAAGAATTTATTGGATACTGTATTAGTCTGCTAGGGCTGCCATAACAAAATACCACAAACTAGGTGGCTTAAACAGTAGAGATTTATTTTTTCACAGTTCTGGAGACTAGAAGTCCAAGATTAAGCTGCCATCAGTTTCTAGGCTACACAGTTTGATTTAAGGGGGGAAAAGTGCCATCACAATTAGTTATAGTAAGGCCTCTCTTCCTGGCTTGTAAATGGCTGCTTTCTCACCATGTCTTCTCTATGTCACTATCTCTTCTCTGTGCCTGCACATGGAAGGAGAAGGATCTCTGGTATCTCTTCCTCTTCTTTTTTTTTTTTTGAGACAGTCTCGCTCTGTCCCTCAGGCTGGAGTGCAGTGGCACAATCTTGGCTCACTCCAACCTCCACCTCCATAGCTGGGATTACAGATGCCCCTCACCACGCCCAGTTAATTTTTGTATTTTTAGTAGAGACGGGGTTTCACCATGTTGACCAGGCTGGTCTCAAACTCCAGACCTCAGGTGATCCACATCCCCCTTGGCCTCCCAAAATGCTGGGATTACAGGCGTGAGCCATGGCGCCCAGCCTATCTCTTCCTCTTCTTATAGGGACATCAGTTCTGTTGGATTAGGGCCCCACCCTTATGACCTCTATTTAACCTTTATCACATACCTCAAGGCCCTATCACAGATACAGTCATGTTGGGGATTAGGGATTCATGAATTTTGGGGATACACAATTCAACCCATGACAGATACCTACTAGCCTCCTGGCACTTGCGAAAACCCAGTAGATGGAGTATAAAACAAGGAATGTAATCTAAGTAGGGCTGTAAAATGTGGAAAATATTGGGAAAAAAAAGAATAAAATGCTAAAAGAATTTAGAGAGAAACAAATCAAGAGATATAGTTGAGTTGGGCCTTAGGCAGGCAGGGACTGGGGTATTCTAGGCAGAGGCAATAGGATAATAGACAAGAGTTTTATGTATTTAAGGGAAATAGAAAATCAGTATTGCTAGAACACATTATTTACACAGGGTCACATTGGGGTTACACAAGATTGCAACCAGATTTGTGGAAGACCTTGTGTGTCAAGTGTCAGTTAGGGAGTCCTTTTTGGGCAAAGAGGTGAGATGATCAAAGAGGTGCCTTAGGAAGATTCATCACTACTGCCTGTGGCTTTGTTTAGGCCCCTGTCATTTTTGGAACTAGCTTTGCAACAGGCCTTACTATCTTCTGGCACTTTTTTCTCTACTGTATTCCCCCTTCAATCTAATCTCCATAATACTGTGTCATATGCTATTATATTCTGAATTTTATAATCTAAGCTATGTTTTTAAGTTTTAGGTTCATATGACTAGATCTAAACATCTTATATGCCATCTTAACATGGCATATAAGACCTTTTAAAATCCAATCCCAAAGTGCCTCTTGTCATGTCTCTTGCCATTGTCCTCATACATGTCTCTTTCTTCCTACCCACCCCCCAGCACTTCAACATGCTTGTTTAAATATTAGTATTTCTATTAGGAACATTCATTGACATAATTGATTTTGAATCACATTGTAATTAGGCACATACTAAATATATTATTTTCTAGCATCAATGATGGTTCCTTTTATACTTAAGGGGGTGCTTTCTATTCCTGTCCTTGGGGATGTTAGGTGTTAGAGGACTCTGGCAGTGTTTCTGGTTTGGGGGAAGCGCTGTGGGAGCTTTGTTGTAAAAATAGAGTTTAAGGAACCAGATCTGTCTGAAAAGAGCATCATGTAAAAGGGACCTTGATGTCAAGTACCAATGATGTTACTTCTGGGTACTGTCAGTCAAAGGGAGAGGAGAGGAAAGATTAAGGGAGTTCCATGTCATTCTTTGGAGTACACTGTATTTTAGTTATACAATGACCACTTTCCTACTCCTCACCCCTATGTTCCCTGAAAAATATGTAGAATTATAAAATAACTTTACCTGAGAATGAATCTTAGGAATAGACTATGGTATAATTGTAGAGGCAATAGAAAGTTTTCTCTACTCCTGCCCACTACTAAATATAGGCACTGCTTCAACACCTAAATTGCCTTCCAAGAGGATGAGATCTTTACCCTACCAATTAGAGAGAAGGCATAAAATGCATTCCAAGAAAAATGCCTGTATAATTTCAGAGTCAGCCTACAATGAGAGATTCATGATAAGTCAGATCTCTTGTTTTGAGGTAGATGAAAGAAGAAGCTGGGGGTACTACAGAATTTATAAAGTTATCTTTGGCTATGATTTAACGTTGAGAAGCTCATGAGGGTTCTACACAAGATGCGGCTTTCAGAGAACCATTGAACTGTGTGTGTTTTTGTGTTATTTCTGTGGACAGGTGTTGCAGTTTATTGTGTATGATGTCTGTTCTGTTCAGGGGTGTCTTCTGTATATTTTCTTGGTGAATTTGTGTGGACAGGAGTGTATGCCATTGGGGCTAGGCCTCAGGTAGGTAGTCAGTAATTCCTTATGGATGATCAAAAATGATCCAAAAATGATCCAAAAATGCAGCATTTTTGTGCCTGCATTCACCTTCATTTGCTCATAATCTGTGAGGGCAGCGCAAACTTTTGCCTAGAACCTCTTGGAGTTGCCTTAAGAGCTTTGGCACTTTTTTCCCTGTGAAGAAATGTGAGCCTGGTGAGATGGTTTACAGTTCTTTTCCTTCTGCCTTTTCAATTTTGAAAGAAATCACTTCCTGTCTCATTACACCACAAAAACACTGACGGGCCACTATGTTGGACTACACATTCGCTGTTCTCAACAGGTTCCTATAAATAAAATTCTAATCTCCCTCTTTTCATAACTCAAATGATTGAATAAATGGCATGCATCTACTACTTTATCACCCACACTTTATTTTGCTACAATGTTTCCTTCCCCAATCATTTTACCTCCCTTTTTTTCTTTCTATTTAGCTTTTCTGGTATCTCTTCTGTGACGTTTAAGAATGGCATACAGTTTTCAGCAATTCCTGAATAAGTACGTTATCAGTTTAGGGATTGTCATTATATTTTCTAGAATACAGCACTGTCCAATAGGACTTTCTGTGATGGTGGAAATGTTCTACATTTATGCTGTCTCCATATGGTGACCACTAGTAACAGGTGGCTCTTGAACACTTGAAATGTGACTACTGCAATTAAGGAACTAAATTTTAAATTGCATTTAATTTTAATTTACATAATCTCATGTGGCTAGTGTCTGCCAAGTTGAAAGCCAAGCTCTAGATCATATATTGATAATTCTCTGGTACACACAGAAAAATTGATATACAGTCATGCTCCACATAATGACGTTTCAGTCAGTGACCAACTGCATATACAGATGTGTTCCCATGAGATTATAACACCATATTTTTACTGTACCTTTTCCATGTGTAGATATATTTAGATATACAAGTATCACTGTGTTACAGTTGCTCACAGTATTCAGTACAGTAACCTGGTGTATAGGTTTGTAGCCTAAAGCAGTCATCTATACTATATAGCCTAAGTGTGTAGTAAGCTGTAATACCATCTAGGTTTGTGTAAGTACATGCTATGATGCTCACACAACAGAATCACCCAATGACACGTTTCTCAGAATGTTTCCCTGTTATTAAGCAATACATGACTATTTGATAATCCACATTTGTAGGTTCCATTGGTAAGACAGTAAAATTATGGACTCATTACCTACTTAATGTGGATAGATTCCCATTGCTATGTAAGAAACTTAGTAGTATGTCCAAATTGTTTTATTGGAGATGAATCGGGCTAAAGTGATTAAGGTATAGCCAGTGTTCAAACTTAAAACTGGTTAAAGTTCAGAATCAATAAAAATCCCAGGAAATGTCAAACGACGTAATCTCACCTGGATTGCTGCAGTGTCTAACTGATAT